CGCTCCTGCCCCGGCCGCTGCTGGAGACTCCCGTTTCCCAGGAGCCGGTTGTCGGTGGGTGCCTCCGTACCGGGCCGGTGCCGTCGGGGAGGGGGCGGCGGCGGCGCCTGGGTTGCGGTTTCGGGGGGCCGGGGGGAGGCGGCGTCGGGAGGCAGCTGCCGGGGCTCCGCGGAAGGAGGCCGGAGCTCCTCAGCCCGGGTCGCCCTCGGCTCTTCGCGAGAGGTTTTCGGGAAGAACAAACACGTATCTGAGGAGGTATCTGGTGTGCGGTTGGCAGGAGGCGGCAGGCAGCGCTCGCAGGGCCCCGCAGGGCTGGCGGGCACCTCGCCGGGCTGCGGCCGGAGCCGGGGACGCGCTCCCTCCCCGGGCAGGGCCGGGCCCGGGCGCACCTTCACCGTCGGCACCCCCAAAATTCCCGGTGCGGCTTTTCGCTCAGCCCGGGCGAGCGGTCGGCTCCCCAGCCCGCGGACGAGGCTGCCGCCCGGTTGGCGCGGTGGGTGCGCTCCCGCAGCCCCGGCACCGGGCTCCTCCGCGCAGCGGGGCTGGGCTGGCGGGGGCTCCCGGCGCTGCCCGGTCCCGGCTCTGGGAACGTTAAACTTAAAAGGAGAGGGTCCGCGGACGGGAAAGTGTGGTTCTGCGGGGCTGAGGCGACGCCGTTGCCTGGGATTCACTTTTACGGTAGCATCCGAGGCTGAATAAATGCTCATAAATGCCGCTACGGTCCTTTTTAGTGTCGGGGAAACTCGGTGGCTGAGATAATGTCGAAGCAATTTCGAGATAGTTGACGTACCGTGGTGTCCCTTGAAATTCTCGCGAATAAAAATAACGCGTAGGTTTTCTTTCCCCCCTACTAATGACAATCATTCGGACAATTTATACGACACAGCGAGAGCTGTAGGTTTTTGGTTTTGGTTTGTGGTTTTGTTGGGTTTATATATATAAAAAAAAAAGGATAAAGAAAAAAAAAGGAAAAGGGGAAAAAATCCCCTTTGAAGCAGGAATTGAGATCCAAATTTTTACAGACTCACATATTTTTAATGTTATGACAATCTCCTTTTTAGGAGACGCTGTGTTTTGTCGAATTAATAAGATAAATGTTGAGAGCATATTATATGCAGCCTTTAATCCTAATGCAAGGAAAATCGTAATTATGTAGAGGATAAGTGAATTTGAAAGCCAAACATCAGCCCACTCTCTGATTGCAAACAACACTCCGATCGCCGCTGGAAAGCGCTTTGTCTCTTCTTTTGTTTAGTTTAGGGGGCTTTAAATTATATTTTAATATTTTTTTTTAATCTGTTTTGTGTCTGAAATGACGGCGGTAAGGGAGGAACCGGTAAACAGTTTTTCGTGTGGTAAAAACCTTATTTCGGCACAGAGCATCTGCGGATGCTTTTGCTCACCAAATCTGCGTGTCCGTAAATACACGAGCTCCGCGTGCGCAGGGCTGCGGGCTCCGGGAAAGCCGCGGTCTGCGGCGGCTTTTCCTTTTTCCTTTTTCTCTTTTCCTTTTTTCCTTTTTCCTTTTCTATTTTTCCTTTTCCCTTTTTCCTTTTCCTTTTCCTTTTTTCCTTTTTCCTTTTCTATTTTTCCTTTTCCTTCCCAGCCCCTCTCGGGCCCCTCCTTGACGGCGGTAAGGGAGGAACCGGTAAACAGTTTTTCGTGTGGTAAAAACCTTATTTCGGCACAGAGCATCTGCGGATGCTTTTGCTCACCAAATCTGCGTGTCCGTAAATACACGAGCTCCGCGTGCGCAGGGCTGCGGGCTCCGGGAAAGCCGCGGTCTGCGGCGGCGGGGGCAGCCCGGTCGCACCTCGCCTTTCCCGGGGAAGGCTCCGTCGGGGCCGCCCGCTCCCGCCGTCCGGCCGCTCCGTCGCTTCCCAGCCCCTCTCGGGCCCCTCCTTGCTCCCCAGCACACCCCTACCTTTGCTCCATGCCACCCACCCAACCCTGGCCAGGAGCCTTCATTGCCCCCTGCCCTTACCGGGGCCCTCAGGGGGCAGCCGGCCCCTGGCTCGCAGGGTGGGGGGAGCCCCGGCACCGACCGACCCTGGGCAGAGACCCCGGGGGGGTTGCACAGGACTTGAGGCCCAGAGGAGCCCCCAGCCCGGGGTGTCCTGGGGCAGGGAGCACCTGGGGGGATGCAGGTGGGTCCCCTCTGCCCCGGTGCGTTATTGGGGTGCACGCAGGAGGACTCAGGGAAGGGGGATGGTCCCCCAGGCCACCGCCTGCAGTCGGTGCATTTTATGTCAGACCCACATATTTTTGGGTGCAAGGGCGGGCACGAGGCGAGGGGGCAGCCCGGTGATGTGTTGAGAACCCACTTCCAGGCCCAGGCTGGCGTGATGGAGGGACGAGGCGGTGTGTGGCCGGGGAGGATGTCCCAGGGCAGGAGGTGTGACAGCGGGACCCCCAGCCGCAGCTCGGGGGTCCCACGGCTTTGTGCAGATTGGGCTCAGGGCACCACCAGCATCTGCTGCCTCTCTTTTGGAGTTTGCCATGAAATACCCGGACCTGCTGAAAAGCTTTCACACCTCCGAGAGAAGTTGACTGGAGCTTCAGGTAGGACCCTGCGCACTTCGAGCCCCTTCTCTCTTCCTGAGAAGAGCTGAGGGTGATGGTACCCAGCACCGGCCCTCCCCTACGGCAGAAGGGCACGGGCGGGGCCCTGATAGAAAATCGGTGTCGGAATCTGGAGGCTTCCCCCCATAAGTGCATTTTCCGTCTTGACTCCTCTCCCCGGCGCTGGTAACTCTGCGCTGCCATCGCTGCCCCGGCTGCCCTCGGATGCTGTTCGCTCCATCATGCCCTTGCCCTTGAACGCCCAAAGTTGCCCGTCCCCCGGGACTGTACGAATAACCCCCAAACCACAGGAGGTGCTAAAGCGGCCCCCCCGCCTGCCACGCACGGCAGCCGGGAACACGCGTGGCTCCACCTGCCTGCAATTAACGGCGGGAACGAGGCCATAATTACTCCCCGGGAGTTTTCCTTAAAGGCGGTGACAGCCCCGCGGCTTCCCGCTGTAGGAGGGGGGTGTCCGGGGGCTCCGGGCGTGCCCGGGTACCGCGCTCTGTGCCGGTGGCGGGCAGGGGGAGCGGGCGGACCCCGCGGGGATGCCGGGGGCGGGCGGCCATCGCCATCTAGCGGGGCTGCGGCCGGGGGGAGCGGGGGATCCTCTCCGGGGACAGCGGGGGCTGCTCGCCGGCCTCCCCGGGCTTTTCTCCGCGGGTGCGCGGTGACTCGGGCTCCTCCCGGGAGCGGCTCCGCTTCTCCAGCGGCCCCGGCGGGGCTCTGGGGGCTCAGCGCCGCCCCGGCGCCTGGAGAGGCTTAGGAAGGAGGGACAGATGACCGTGTCCCGGCTTTCTGCACTCACTCCGGTTCTCGGGTCCCGGAGCAGCCGGGGAGCTGCTGCTTCACCCCCTCTGAACCCCCGGGCCTGCCCACGGGGGAGCGTGGCAGGAGCCGGCTCACACCCGCGGGG